AACCTCCAACTCCTGGGCTTAGGTGATTCTCTTGCCTCAGCCTCCCGAGTAGCTAGGACTACAGGCGCCCGCCACAACGCCTGGCTATTTTTTTGTTGCAGTTTGGCTGAGGCTGGGTTTGAACCCGCCACCCTCAGCATATGGGGCTGGTGCCCTACCCACTGACCCACAGGCACTGCTGCCCAAGTAGAATGAATTTGAAGTATTCTTTTTCTATTGTCTACGAGATTTGGGCTCAGCACCTGTGGCTCAAGCGGCTAAGGCGTCAGCCACACCTGAGCTGGCAGGTTCGAATCCAGCCTGGGCCCGCCAAACAACTACTGTTGCAACCAAAAGGTAGCTGGGCGTTGTGGCGGATGCCTGTAGTCCCAGCTACTTGGGAGGCTGAGGCAGGAGGATTGCTTGAGCCCAGGAGTTGGAGGTTGCTGTGAGCTGTGATGCCACAGCATTCTACCCAGGGCAACAGCTTGAGGCTCTGTCTCAAAAAAAAAAAAAAAAAAAAGATTTGGCATGATCTCTTTTTTGAAATTATCTTCTATTTTTATTTATAAATATTAGTTGTCTATTTTTTTGAGAGTTTGGAAAAATAAATTAAAATGGAAACCTCGCCACATGATAAGGCATGGAGCATCTCCTAGAGTTCTCGTCACATTGAATGTTACCATTAGATCTGGGGAAACTGTGAAAACTCTGATAAATGAAAACTGAACATTCAGAATTCTTGCTAGTTTTTCTATTTTTAGTAGAGACAGGATCTACTCTTTCTCAGGCTGGTCTTTGAACTCTTGAGTTCAAGTAATCTACCTACCTCTGCCTCTCAGATGCTAGAATTACAGGTGTGAGCCACTGCACCTGGACAGTATTCAGAATGCAAGAATGGGGATGTGGGCTAGAAGTACACAGGAAGAACTTTATTTTGATAAGTTATAATTATGAGACTTTTTTTTTTAATTGAGACAGAGTCTCACTTTGTCGCACTCGGTAGAATGCTGTAGCATCATAGCTCACAGCAACCTCAAACTTTTGGGTTCAAGAGATTCTCTTGCTTTAGCCTCCCTAGTAGCTGGGAGGATAGGTGCCTGCCACAATGCCTGGCTATTTTTCATTTTTTCCCCATTTAGCAGGCCCGGGCTGGGTTCAAACCTAGTAGCCCCAGTGCATGTGGCTGGTACCCTAATCACTGAGCTAAGGATGCCCAGCCAGTTATGAGACTTCGAAGAGATTTTTATTCACAAAGGCTTCCTGGCTTGATGCCTATTGCTCAGTGGTTAGGGCACCAGCCAAATACACCAGGGCTGGCAGGTTCGGACCTGCTAAACAACGACAGCTACAACCAAAAATGGTTGGTCATTGTGGCAGACACCTGTAGTCCCAGCTACCTGGGAGGCTGAGGCAGGAGAATTGCTTAAGCCCAAGAGTTAGAGGTTGCTGTGAGCTGTGATGCCACAGCACTTTACCGAGGGCAACATAGTAAGACTTTGTTTTCAAAACAACAACAAAAAAAAAAGTTTCCTGTATTGCTGATTATAAAGTTTTTAATTAAGAAAATAGAGTTCTGTCTGAGCAAGGTGGCTTGACGCCTATAATCCTAGCACTCTAGGAGGCCAAGGCAGGTGGATTGTTTTGAGCTCACAAATTTAAGACCAGCCTGAACAAAAGTGAGACCCTCGTCTCTACTAAAAATAGAAAAAACTGAGGCAAGAGGATCACTGAAGCCCGAGTTGGAGGTTGCTATGAGCTATGACGCTAGCTATGTGACGCTATGGCACTCTACAGCTTGAGACTCTGTCTCAAAAAAAAGGAAAATAGAGTTCAGCATTTCCAATGAATAATAGAATGTGTCACAAATTACATTTGAGGTTCATAATATTAATTATACTCACTAAAGAAAGAAAATAAGCTAGACATAGATAGTAGCACACACCTGTACTTTCACCTACTTGAGAGGCTAATGCAGAAGAACCACTTGAACCTTCAAGGCCAGCCTGGGCAACATCATGAGATCCCACCTAAAAGAAATGAATCGGCCAGGTGCTCACACCTATAATCCTAGCACTCTGGAAGGCAGAGACGGGTAGATTGCCTGAGCTTACAAGTTCTAGACCAGCCTGCGCCGGAGTGAGACCCCATCTCTAAAAAATAGCCAGTCATTGTGGCACGCTCCTGTAGTCCCTGATACTTGGGAGGCTGAGGCAAGAGAATTGTTTGAGCCCAGGAGTTTGAGGTTGCTGTGAGCTATGATGTCACAAGCACTCTACCGAGAGCAACAAATAAAACTCTTATCTCAAAAAGTAAATAAATACAAGAAATGAATCAAAATTTTAAAAGGGTACAAAACCCAATGCTGGTGGGTTGTCCAGGGAAATCATGACCTTTTACATTGCTCAAAGTAAGCAATGCTAATTATTATGGTATTGCAAGAGAGCAACAGTGATAATGAGAACCATAAATTGTAGGCTGATCGTAGCACATGAATATCTGAAGGACAAAATAGATCATGCAGAGCCATTTCCAGCTATGCTGTTTGTGGAGGTGGGTGCTAGAAGCAGGTCAGAGGACGAAGCCCACGGGAAGTAGTTGGGCAGCACTAGGGCATTCATCTGCACAGAGACACTGACCACTTGGTGGCCGTTGTGAGACTAGGAGGGAAAGATAGCCCAACAGTGGTAGGCTAATCAGTATGACAACTGAGCACAAGCCTCATGGCAGAGAGGGTGAAATGTGCATCTCACCATTGGTTTTTGGTGTGGGGGGGCTTGTCTTAGACCATAAAGCAGATGCAGCAGCGGATGCTGGAACTCAGAAAGACTCTGCAGAAGGAATTGGTGAGTGCCCCATGGTATGCCAGCCAAGACTCTCAGTCTGTCCCCTCCCTGTGCCTCTGTCCTCCAAGGGTTCCGTGATACCTAATGCTCCCCCACCCTTCATTGCAAGGGGTTTCGGGGAAGTCACATATTGACTGGAGGGACAAGAACCCACCAGCTTGAACATGCCTCTGAGAATTGGCTCTGTGACCTCGGCTATGTGCCTGCCTTCTCTGAGTCTGCATCCTCAGCTTAAAGAGGGTGTTGCTCTGCAAAGTCAATGCCATGACATTTGTACAGAATGTATGTGACAAACTGCTTGGCCCAAGGAGGCGTAAGAACAGCACCCTTGCTCCAGGCCAGGGAGGTGTGGTTTTGGTTAGATAAGAAAACATCTGAATTTTCCCCAAGTGACCACACTCCCTCCTCTCAGTGGCCAACCCTGCCTGGAGGCACTGAGCCTTCCTCAGGCTCTGGTGCCCTGTTAGTGGTGATCATTGCTTCGGCCAGGCAAATCTCTGACTTTCAGACCTGTCAGGAGGGATTCAATGTAACTTCTTTTCCATTGGTTTTTCAGAAAATCAGACCCGATAATGAGCTTTTTGAAGTCCGGGAGAAACCTGGACCTGAGATGCCAAACTTGGCCCCTTCTGTCACGAACAATGCTGACCTGACTGATGCCCGCGAGATCAACTTCGAGTACCTTAAGCATGTTGTTTTAAAATTCATGTCCTGTCGAGAATCTGAGGTAAAGGGCTTCCAGGTCCCTTTTGGTTATTAAGCCCCACCCTGCACAGTCTGTTTGGTTGAGTGCCCTACCCAGCTACTTCTTTCCTCACCTACATCCCGATTTGACTATTCATGTAGACACTTGGTCATTCTCCTGCTGGCACCAGGCTGCTGATTGAGCAGCAGAGGGAGCTGGATCCTAGGAGGAGGTCAGGCTCCACCACTAAATCCTATGTTGGATACTGAGGCTAGAGGCCAGGAACAGAACCCACCCACTGCCTCTACATCCAGAGGAAGTCTCCTTGGTCATTTGGCCCCAATTCCCTGGCTCCACCCTGCCCCACACCCTTCAAGGCCAAGGGCAGCAAAACTTACTTTATTTCAGGCTTTTCATCTTATAAAAGCTGTGTCTGTGTTGCTGAACTTTTCCCAAGAGGAAGAGAATATGCTCAAGGAAACCCTGGAATATAAGGTAGGGTTCTCTGGTCAATGGTCAGGCTTCTAAAAAATGTAGTCGGCTCGGCACCTGTGGCTCAGCCACATACACCTAAAGTGGAGGGTTTGAATCCAGCCTGGGCCCGCCAAACAACAGTGACAGCTGCAACCAAAAAATAGCTGGGCGTTGTGGTGGGCACCTGTGGTCCCAGCTACTTGGGAGGCTGAGGCAGGAGACTCGCTTGAGCCCAGGAGTTAGAGGTTGCTGTGAGCTGTGATGCCAGGGCACTCTCAACACACCCTGGAGCAGGCAGGTGACCCCAGCTGCAGCCCAGCTGCTTTTGGATGCACTGGGTCCAAGCAGTATTTAGTGAGGTCTTCGTCTGTGCACAAGTGTCTGTGCTGTACTTGACCAACAGGCCTGTAGTTTTTGAAGCCTTTGCATTAATATTTTATCAACAGCCCCAAGTCTTGCCCAGCACCCAGGCTTTAAAAAAAAGAATTCCAAAAGAATCTCTGTAAATGTTAGAATAGGAAAAATTACCTACAATTCCTGTACCTGGCTCTTGTCAGCTGGGGTTTTTGTTTGTTTGTTTGTTTTTTCTCACTTCCTTCCCATATTTGGAATGGGCCTGCAGACTGGCTACTGAAATGATGTTTAGTGCTGTGCCCAGAGCTAGGAGTGTGTTGGGGATGGTGGTGGAGCGGGGCTGTCAGCTTCTTCAACACCAAGTTCGGATTCACAGGAGCCTTTTCTGTTTCAAACACAGATGTCATGGTTTGGATCTAAACCAGCTCCCAAGGGCAGCATCCGGCCATCTATCTCAAACCCTCGGATACCATGGTCTTAGAGGGAACTACCCAAGGATGGAGCTCCATGGGTCAACACTTTTTCTGTGAAAAGAACACTGACACACCAGTCTGGGTGGGTTTTTAATCACTGTTAACTGCAGTATTTTGTACAAGCGTCTAAACATTGTTTACAAGACTTAAGGCCCACTTCCCTGCAGGCTGACGTGAACCTCAGGGGGTAGCTGATCCTATGTTATTCTGGTCACCAAACAGGAGGGTCCTGACACTACCCAGATTTCCACAGTGCTGCTAACATCTCAGCTTTGGCCCGCAGCCCATCTGCACCTGAGTCCTCTTTTAATGTTAGCACTCACAGCTGAAGCGGCAAGCACCTGTGAAGCAACAGCTTGCTCATCACTTAGTGATGATGCTGGAGGTGGAGATGCCCTTTGAAATGGTGCCCAGCAGGCCAACCCCACCTGCTTCTGCCAGCAACATACAACTCAATGGGGGGGGGGGGCTTTTAAAAATTCAGATGAGTTAGAAGAGGCTTTTTGTCCCTTCCTCTCAAGAAAATATTATTTCACCTTGTTTGTTAAACCGCCTAGAATTTTAGATGTGTACATCTCTAAGGGCCAGTGTGGATTAATGAAGAATATGCAACTTTCTGGCAGTATCTCCGTTTTACTTAAGAAAACTAGCAAATATATAAAAAGATTCTAAGTATAGTACCAAATACACTCAATTGCCTTTTTAATGAATGTACTTGTCTTGGATAGGTTGCTGGTAAACCATTTTAAAACTATTTTTTATAGCTAAAGTTCTTCGCTATTATAAACTTGTCTTCTGTATTATAAAATTCATTTAACTGGTGTTCTTAAAGAAAAATCAGAGCATCAAGAAATTATTTCTAAAATTGGAATTCCTGTCACTTTGCAATTTCACTAGCATTCTGTGGCATCTGCTCCTCTCTGAAGCAGTGGTGGCATTTCATTGCTTTGCTCCAGATTCCGTGTTGTGCTACCACTGAGCAAGTGCTAACCACATTTCTTCTATTAAGGACAATCCTACTATATTCAGCAAAGCAGCAGCTGTCCCTGCCCCCAGCCTTGACCAAAACATTGCAATCAGTCTGCCTTGTATGTGGGGCCACACTCTCCCCCCAACCCTGCCCCCAAATATTTAAGATGACACTACATTCATGGATTACATCCAGACAGCCCCCAGCTGACTTTGGGAGTGAGTGACTGATAAAAACTTAAAATTCCTTCTTCCTAAGGAAAAGGGAAGATGCTTGTTCTGGATAAGCCACATCATCAAATCTAAGGGAAACTGTTTATAGTTAGATAAAAATTTCACTGGGTAAATAAAAAATGAATAAATAACCAGAGCTCCTAAATTACCAATTTTCCAGTGATACTGTTTCTCAATTATGTTTAGGGCCAAAATACATAAAAATATAGCTCCCAGAAAAACATATATTTGCAGAGTTAATCTATTAAGTTTTTGTGAAGTACAGGGCAGCATCTTAGTCCCAACTCAGGCTCCCTGCCACCCAAATAAACCATTCTCCAGTGACCTACCTACCTCCTCATGTGGCTCTTATTGCAAATATCTGTCCCTTGTATAGAATGCTGTTTTCCATTTACCTGGTGGGAACATGAAACAGGAGTCCCTTCTATTCTGTAATTTTGATGAGAAATAGCCTTTTTTCAAAGTAGGATTTCTTCTTCAGCTGTTCCAGAAAAAAATCTCTTAAGAAGATTGGGTAGTTCAAGGTTTGCCAGAGGCAGCTGTGGCAATTCTATGGAAGCCTGGTCTGACTCCTCCAGACTCTCTGGCTTCTCCAGCCCTTGAGCTGGTCTCACCCCCACCCCCAACTCCCCTGGCAGTTTTAGGTGTAGCTGTGGGGGTTGTTACTAAGTCTGTACTCACTGAGGGAGGATTTGCTCTGGTTAGGCTTTCCTCCTGCATGTTGAATTTCCTTCAGCTTTAAGAGGAAAAGTGGAGTAAATATTCTAAGTGATTTAATGCACTTTTACTTGTATAAAACTTTCTGTGATGGACGGTATATATAGCCCTTTATATAAGCAATTGGATCTTGACCTTCAGTGTTGTAAATATGGATTATATTATCTAAAACTGCTGTAGAAAATTCATTTGTGGTGCAATACACTTTCTAATTAAAGCTCTTCAATCCAGATGCAACTACAGTGAGTTTTACTTGGTATAGTTTATGTCACTAGTTGACTTGATAAATCTAGTATATTTTATATCTTGTATTTGAAGCCAATTTCAAGGGATAGAGGACATTTGTCTTTCAGAAAGAACGTCTCCAGACTGGGTTTGGTTGAAGATAAGTGTATATATTCTTGAGTAGCAGGGAGGGGAGGTCTCACTTTGTCTCCCAGGCTAGAGTAGAGTGGCATCATTATAGCTCGTTCCAACCTTTAAAATCCTGGGCTCAGGTGATCCTCCTGCCTTACTCTCCCAAGTAGCTGAGACTACAGGTATGCAGCACCATGCCCAGCTAATTTTTTTATGTTTTGTAGAAACGGGGGTCTCAGTATATGTAATGAAGCCAGTAGCCCAAGAATCATAGTGGTTCTGCAAAGGGGCTGGGAGTAATGGTGGAGAATTGTGTCACTTTAGTCAAAGTCAAGGCCCATATTACCTGGAAGAGCTTCAGGAGTATGAATGGGGTCCTTACCTTTATAGAACACAAGCTGCAGTTGCATGCACTGAAAAGGAAAGCATTTTTGCCCTTCAAACATGCTCACTGTTACTTACTGGCCATGGGGAACCAAAGTTTGCTTTGATACCAATGTATCTGTTGGCTGACTGCTCCCTTTCAACCAATGCAGCAGTGAATACTCCAACACAGCTGAAGTGCAATCACACAAACTGAAGACTTTTAAAGCCTTGGTCAATTATTAAATGTTTGGCACTTTATTAAATTAAATAAGCTTCAAAATTACATACAAATCAAAGAAGAAAGAAACAATAAATAGTTATTCAGCAAAACCCCCCTCCATAGCAGCCAGCAGCACTATGGCCAGGGCTCTGAGTGGTGCTGTGGCAGAGGCCTGCAGGTTGTCATGCTTGCCTCCCAAGGATGGCTAAACAGGGATGCACACTGACCCCTTCCACACCAAGTCTCTGGAACAGCTGAACTCATTCATTACCATCCCATTCACCACCATTTCTTACGTACATGAAACACACCGCAATGTGTATACTAATAAGCCAAGAGCTTTATTGATGCAGCAGGCACTTTACAATGAGCCCAAGAGTGCCCGCCTTCTCTGAGAAGTCGGGGTATCTGTACAGACTCTTGGGATTTTATCCACTTCAAAAACAAAACAAAACAAAAAAGAAAAAACAAGCTCTCCCTTTTACCACAGCCCTTGGATCTGCACCTGCCCAAATCATCCCTCCCCCAGTGCACACAGGTACACCTGACCACTGCTGGCCAGCCACTCTGGTAAACAGTCACAATGTCAGTTCTGTAGACAAAGGCATAGACTATCAGATCCTGCAAAGGATTTAGGAAACAGTAAAATGATTTCTCCCTCCACCTTGAAAATAAAATACATTTCAGTGGATACATGTCCTGAAATAGTTTAGTTGGGAGTTCCTAGGAAGATGGTCCATTTTCAGTCCCTTCTTCACCAGCCTGGGCATCCAAAGTTCTTCTCAAGGTAACATGAGTCTTTTTTTTTTTTTTTAAACAGTCTTTCTTGCTGTAAGAACTCTTATAATGGAGCCTAGTCCTCCTACTGCTAAGGCCTGTGGGGACAGGAAAAGGAAACACGTCAAATGAGACCTGGCTGGCCAAGGAGGAGCCTGGCTTGCCAGGGAGATGGGACTGTGCATCCTCTGACCTAGACCCCACCATGACCCTCTCAAAGAGATTCCTGCAATAGACCATGTTTAAGGGAAGGAGTCCCATACTAGGTGCTTGAGCCCCCAGCTCTTGAGCAAAGACTGTGCATCCTCTGACCTAGACCCCACCATGACCCTCTCAAAGAGATTCCTGCAACAGACCATGTTCAAGGGAAGGAGCCCCATACTAGAACCTAGGGTGCTTGAGCCCCCAGCTCTTGAGAATACTTTCACCAAGCACACACTGTGGAGCTCCTCAAGTTTCTTTACTGGTTTTTTTTCGAGAGTCTCACTGTGTCACCCTGGGTTGAGTGCTATCCTCATAGCAACCTTAAATTCTTGGGCTCAAGCCTCAAGCAATTCTCTTGTCTAAGCCTCCCAAGCAGCTAGCTAATTTTTCTATTTTTAGTAGAGAGGGAGGTCTCACTCTTACTCAGGCTGGTCTCGAACTCCTAAGCTCAAGCATCCATCTCCACCTCCCATAGTGCTAGGATTACAGGTGTCAGCCACTGCACCTGGTAAGTTTCCCTTTTGACAAGCTCATTTTTTTGTCTCCAGCCTGTAAGCCCTGCCCTGGACACAGGTGAACACAAGCCCATTGAGAGCTGCCAGCAGCTGACATTGGTGCCAGGCACCAAGTTGCCTTAAAGGTAACAAAATGGCCTGGCCTCTGCACCATGCAGAGGACTTGCTCACCTGAGCACCAGAGACACCCTCATATACTAAGACCCAGCAGAGTGAAGACTAACAAGGCACAGCACACTCACCAGCAAGACCAAAGGCCACAGTCACAGAACCACAGCCTAGCAGCTACTGCCACAAGGGGCCAGCCCAGCCCTCTCACAATTCAACCTTGAGCCTCTTTGCGAAAACCAATGTGTAAAAGCCTGGTCTCCTTGAACGATGCTCACTACAGCACTGAGTTGTGTTAGAGAGGGCATGGAAGGGGGCTACAGAAGCACACAGTTAGGATGCATGCTTGAGAACACTTGGATGACGACCACAATGACTGTCAAGGTTTCTGTTCACTGCCTCCTAACCCTAAAGTCAGGGCAGGACACACTCAGAGCCAGCTGGAGGGCCCAGCTTCCATTTCTTTCTTTCTTTTTTCTTTTTTTGAGACAAAGAGTCTCATTCTGTTGCCTAAGCTAGAATGCCATGGCATCAGCCTAGCTCACAGTAGCCTCAAACTCCAAGGGCTCAAGTGATCCTCCTGCCTGTTCCCTAAGTAGCTGGGACTATAGGCACCAGCCACAATGCCAAACTAATTCTTCTACTTGCAGAAGAGATAGTATAGTCTCACCCTTAATTCAGGCTGGTCTCAAATTCCTAAGCTCAAGAAATCCTTTTGGCTCGGCGCCTATAGCTCAACCGGCTAAGGCGCCAGCCACGTACACCTAAGATGGCGGGTTCGGATCCCCAGCCCGGACCCGCCAAACAACAATGACGGCTGCAACCAAAAAATAGCCGGGCGTTGTGGCAGGCGCCTGTGGTCCCAGCTACTTGGGAGGCGGAGGCAGGAGACTCGCTTGAGCCCAGGAGTTGGAGGTTGCTGTGAGCTGTAATGCCACGGCACTCTACCCAGGGGGACAGCTTGAGGTTCTGTCTCAAAAAAAAAAAAAAAAAAAAAAGAAATCCTTTTACCTTGCCTCCCAGAGTACTAGGATTACAGGCATGAAGCATCATGCATTGCCCAGCCTGCATTTCTGAGACCCCCGCCCTCATTTCTTCTCCCCCAGCAGCTGCCTCTGCCAATCAGAGAAAGTATCATGGAGCCCTAGTCAACCAAAAACCAACCTCTCTCCTACCTGGGGCTCTCCATCTACCTTACCATGCCAAACTGCCTGTCCCCATGTCCTATACTAAGAGCACCATCCTGTCTGGTATAAATCAGTAGTTCAAAAGCAAAAGCAATCACCAGAGACCTACCAGGTGCTTCCTTTTGAGATGTAAGTAATCAGATGTCCAAGGTCTAGGCTTGTTCCCTTAATTCATAGGCCCATCAGATCATTCGATGTTGTTGTGGAAAATCTGGCTTACTAACCTTTTTTTCCAGACAGGGTTTCCCTCTGTTGCTCAGGCTGGAGTATAGCAGCAGCATCATAGATCACTATAACCTCCTGGACTCAAACAATCCTCCTGCCTCAGCTTCCCTAGTAGCCAGGATTATAGGTGCATGCCACATGCCTGGCTAACTTTTTTTAGTTTTGGAGAGACTGGGTTTCACTATTGCCCAAGCTGGTTTTGAACTCCTGGCCTCAAGCGACCCTCCCACTTAGGCGTCCTGAAAGTGCTAGGATTACAAGCATGAGCCACCACACCTGGCCTGGCATACTGATTGAACCCCGGAATAATTCAACAAGCCACCTGCAGGGTGATGTGTTCACGTACCTTTTCGTGCCACTGGAGTAACACTGCACTGCTGTTTTCTGTGGGCTTCTCAAACCCTTTATAAATGTACTTCATTAACAAGTCAACACCATTTCTGTCCAGTGACTGCACAGCCTGCTCAATTTCACTGCTCTTGAAGTTTGTGAGTACTTTCAGCACCACACCCTGGGCTCGCTCCTACAGAGGAAAGAGAGAGGGAGAGACTAGTGGGCACAGGAACACCAAAGCAAGTGGTCAGAAGTCACCAGGAATACTGCCCAATATCTAATTCGTCTAGACTAGTCAAAAGTGGGCTAACATTCTTTTGTTGGTCTAAACTTCAAAGCATCCCTTACTTTTGCCAGTAAGTCATTCCACCTATTTTGGGGGGATAGTGGTTTACTTGGGACAGGCATCACTATTTTTGATGACACCAACCAGGCCTCATACAGTCCACAGGATCACAGTAGTGCTGGTTAATCAGGTTTCCCCCCTGGTTTTTGGCTGCAGCTTCCCTCTGTGTTCATACCTCTTCACCTTTGTAAAGGTGCAACCACTGGTTATATGAAGATGCTGTTACAAGATGCCAGCATCCCAGCTGCAGGAAGACCCCTTTCCTTGGATCAAATTTTAGATAGTCGTAGTGATGTAGTAAGCACAACTATCTTTTGGCTTTTAAAAGGCAGGAAATCTTTAAAGCACTTAAAAATACATGTGCAGACAAAAGCCAACTTGATAGCCTGTAAGAGCATAACCACTGTTAAGTCCCTCATGGCACCTCTCTACTAATCAGCAAGGGCTGGGCCAGCTTCTCACCCCAGGAGGTCCCAGGGAAAGGTGAATATTTCTTTGGGGAGCTTTTACTATAAACACACAAATCTTTTTTTTTTGAGACAGAGCCTCAAGCTGTCCCCCTGGGTAGAGTGCTGTGGCATCACAGCTCACAGCAACCTCCAACTCCTGGGCTCAAGCGAGTCTCCTGCCTCCGCCTCCCAAGTAGCTGGGACCATAGGCACCCGCCACAACACCTGGCTATTTTTTGGTTGCAGCCGTCATTGTTGTTTGGCGGGTCCGGGCTGGGGATTCGAACCCGCCACCTTAGGTGTACGTGGCTGGCGCCTTAGCCGGTTGAGCTATAGGCGCCGAGCCAACACACAAATCTTTGAAGTCAGAATTTAACATCTGGGAGTGCTAGGAGGCTTCCATGGAATCACTGCCCAATGCCAACTCACTCCCACTGACACGGGTACAAAACAGATACTGTCCAGAGCCCAAGGAAGTCATACTACTCTTAACTGGGCAGACAGACAACCACAGCCCTGGTCCCAATGCCACCACCCAGCAGCCCACCAGAGTGACCCCCTTTACCTTCACGGCTTGATTCTTGGTGTTGACGGGGGAGTTTCGCAAGGCTGCATGAAACGCCCGAAGCATGTCCCCTGTGCACGCCACCAGTTAAGGATGGCTGGGCTAATGCATGGCCACGCTCTCTTCAATGAATTCACTTCAAAAACAGCTCAGTAGAGCAGAGTCAAATTGGACCTTGCCCATACCATCCACCTTCCGCTGCCAGCTTCTGGGGAGCATTACCTGTTTATCATCTATAGTCTTCCTGAGCCACAGAGAAGGTGAAGGGTACCTCTGTCAACCCTACAAACCGCTCCTGCTTCCCTGCCTACAACTTCCCAGTCAAAGCAACTGCCCCAGACAGGTAACCTGCAGTAAGATCTGACTGAACTCACTTGCACCTGCCCTACGAAATCCTCACAGCATCCATGCTGTGGTCATTCTCATCTTCTCATTCTAAAAAAAAAGAAAGAATAAAGGCACAAACAGAGGTTTCCTAACTCTTCATTCAAGGCTTTCTATCAGTTAAACTATTAAAGAAATTAAGATGTGCTCAAACTACTTTCCAAGACCTACCCAGATCAATAAGACCCCAGCTGCTTCCAGGAGGGGATTTATTAATCTAAAAGAACCTTTTGCCAACAAAATGAGGCAATCTCCACTTGCTTCCCTAAAGCATAGTTGCAATAGTGACACTACATTCTCTGCTGAGTTCTGAATACCCAGCACACAAAAGAAAATTACAATCTGGGTTAGGTCCCCAAAGGTGACACCTATTTTAAACTGAATTACATCAGCCAACTTTCATTTCCTCATGTGAAACATTGGCTTCAGCCAAAAAGCTTCAAAAATAGAACAAGGTATGACTCCTGCCCAATCAGGTCTCTACTCCTGTTCATGTGGTGATACCCACGTGTGAACAGACAGGGCCTCCTGAGCAAAGCTCAATTTCCTGGCTTCCCCAGTCTGGGCTCCATCTTAAGCGAGCTGGGTCCGAGCTGCCAGGCAAGTCACTCCCTGCCCTGGTTCCCCAGCTCCTCCCACATCCAAGAGACAGCCCACCACGTTATCTTTCAGCTTTAAAATTCCTTTTCCTCAGCGAATCAAGAACCAGTCTGGTTATCAGTCAAAGATAACCCCTATCTATTCTAACTTGGCATTCCCAAAGCAGTAAGAAGTGTCCCAGAGACTTAATAGGAAATGTAGGTTAGCTCGCTCTTCACTTAAACCTAGCAGAAGTGACAAGAAAATCATTCAGAAGATGGCGAGGGAAGAGCAAGAATAACACAAGTAGTCCATGGAAGCAGAAAGTCACTGCTTCAGAGTTATCTCTCTATACCACCAGTTAGTATAACCACCACTATGGTCACTAGTGGTGGGTAAATCCTTTCAGTGGCTGGGGAGATCTAGTGCGCATGGAGGGCAACCCTGCAATCACTCATCATCTACAAAGCTGGCTTTAGACTCTTTCAGAGAATAGACTGCAGCAGCTGCGAGACCCTGCCCAGTCCTTGCTCTCCTCTTGTCTTTCTTAAGCCCAGCACCAACATTTCAGACCAATAATTCTTAGATGTGGGACCTTAGCTGTGTGTTGTAGGATGGTTAGCAGCATCCCTGACCTTTACCTGTCACCACGTCATGACAATCAAAATGTCTCCAACGTTGCCAAACCAATAAAAACCACAGATTACTGATCCAGAGGACCAGAAGCTGCTTCACTGAGAAAGAAAAGGAAATATTTTAAAATCAACAAAAGAGCCAGGTGCAGTGACTCATGCCTGTAATCCTTGCACTTTGGGAGGCCAAGGTGGGTGGATCACTTGAGCTCAGGCGTTCAAGACCAGCCTGAGCAAGAGCCAGACCTCATCTCTATTAAGAACATACGTCTAGCAGTGCACTGTAGTGGGTACCTATAGTCCCAGCTACTCGGGAGGCTGAGGCAAGAGGATCGCTAGAGCCCAAAAGTTTGAGATTGCATAAGCCATGATGACACCAGGGCCACAGCACTCTACTCATAGGAGGACACCATGTGGCCGTGATGTCACCATGGCTTATGACAATCTCAAACTTTTGGGCTCTGTATTCTCAAGAGTGAGACTCTGTCTCAAACAAATAAAAAATCATCACAAGGTCTCAAGATTCTGTGCCAGGCACTTTCACAAGTCACCTCATTCCAAAAAAACCTTTGCAATAAAAATCATTATTCCATTTTAAAGACAAACCGAGGTTCAGAAAAGGGAGAATACCTGCCCAAGGTCATGAACCCAAGCTTTCTATAATCCCCTGCTGCTCTACTTGCAGACCCAAGCTGCTTGTCTGGTAGCCTTGCTATGTGCCCTCTGATGATGACATTGTCCCATGATACTCCTAGGGAAACTATGAGGCCAGCATAGCCATCTTCCATTTATTAACAGAGGAGAATGCCAAGGTTGAGAGGATATATGACATGCAAGGTCACAAACCTTTAGCATGAACAGTACTGGGTAAGTGTGGATACACAGCCCACGTTCCTTCTACTTCATCTGTGTGATTTCCCACCATGACACACCTCCTCATATGGCCATAGGACAGTCTCTCTCATTCCTCTCCTTGCTCCCCTTTTCTCAGACTCTTAAAAGTTCTCTGGTTTAAAATTCAATGATCTAGGCTTGGCGCCTGTGGCTCAAGTGGCTAAGGCACCAGCCACATACACCTAAGGTGGCGGGTTCGAATCCCCAGCCCGGGCCCACCAAGTAACAATGACAGCTGCAACCGAAAAATAACCAGGCAGGTGCCTGTGGTCCCAGCTACTTGGGAGGCAGAGGCAGGAGACTCACTTGAGCCCAGGAGTTGGAGGTTGCTGTGATGCACAGCACTCTACCCAGAGGGACAGCTTGAGGCTCTGTCTCAAAAAAAAAAAAAAAATTCAATGATCTAATGCCTATTTTGTGACATATGGTAGGAAACTCAACAAATATTAGTTTTCTCCCTTCCTGGGCCCCAATTATGTCAGGATTTCAGTTCTCTTCATCTGCTAACCTCCCTTTCCCTAACTCTAAGAGGTACACTGTCCATGGTGACAAAGTTTCTGACACTGCCAGTAGTGGAGAAACTACTACCCAGTGGATGTGCTCAGCCTAGGCTTCTAAGAGGCCTCAAGGACCCTATTGACTAGGCAGGGGTGTACCAAAACATGGCCTTCAACAAGTCACTGTAGCAACAAGACCAAGGTAGCAGCTGACCAGGCCTTGGTCTCATCCGTGGAAGGAGGATCCTGGGGCAAAGGCTTGAACCTTTTAATACTGACTACCCATAAGCCAGGCCCTGCACCACACTACAGAACCAATCTTCCCTCCTCGGGGCCCTTCCCTTTACCCCATTTTACCAGTAAAGTAAGTGAGATAATCTTGATGGGGCAGGAAATACAAGTTTGAATCTCCACCTTTGAAAATGCATTCCTGTTCAAACAAAGTTTGAAGGTTTTGTTTTAAAGGCCCATTGGAAGAGCACTTCCTAAGTTGAGTCAACTGATCAAACACAGAAAACCTGATTTATATATGGTTTGAGCCTCCAACCATGCCCCGGCAAGCGTGGGGAGGGGAATGCACTTCCTGTAACACCATCAAATAAAGAAAAATTCTTCCTTTGAGAATAAGTCAGTTTCCTGTGCTCAAAATGCTAAGGGACCCAGCAGGCTGTGACAATCACCTCTATTTTTAATTTCCTTTTCTAAGCGTTTGCTTGCTGTGGCCACAAGATCAGTCACTTCCAGTCTTGGGGATCTACTTTTATACTTTTACACCTTGCTTTGGTTTTTCTTAGCTCTAAACTACTAGTTTTTTCCACTGCTTCCTTCACACGAAGGCAACTGGGGGGAGCCAAACTCACTTGTTAAGCGTGGCTGAGACCATCAAGGTCCAACGGCCAAGGTGTTCAGAGAAAGGTGAAAATATGTGAGAAAGGATCAGACTGGCCCTATGTATGGTAGGAGGGGCACAATCTCAGACCTCAGGGCTGAACTAAGGCTGCAGCCTTCATTCTGCCCTTGGTCCTTTCTTCCCCCTAGTCATCCACCCACCCCAAGAAGGTCAGTAGGGCAGGCCGGGAGGACAGTGCCCCAGCCGCCCAGACTGCTCAATTACTAAGAGATGGCTCACCTCCGCCCCTCCCGCCGACCGAGCTAGGTGAACGGCCAGCAAACGAGGGACAGAATGACCGACACCGAAGGAAGGGACAGCCTGAAGGGATGAGGCGGCGAGGTGGGGGCGGAGGCAGAGTATACCCACGCGGAAGGGCTAGGGGCCTGTCGGGGCCGAGGCGACTCTGGCGTGTTCCTGGGGCCGCCGAGGGAGCCCTCCCACTAGGGTCCAGGGGCCGCTGAGGCTGTGCTGCGGAGGAGGAAGGCGCTGGGGGCCGGCGACGAGGGAACTCTGGAGACCACGAGACTGAGGGGACCATGGCCTGAGGGAAGCTGGATTGCAAAGAAACTGGGAGCCCAATGTGAAAGGACCGGGGGTGAGGAAGTAGGGGGGCCGGGACCTGAGCAGCACAAGCGGGGATGGGGAAAGTGGGGAAGGTCGGGCCAAAGGGGAGCCCGGGCCTCAAGGAGTGCAAAGGCCGGGCCGCCGCTACCGAGAAGGATATTGCCGCAGGAGCCCGTCCACCTCGCTAGGATCTGGGCCTGGCTCTCCCGCTGCCGCCGCCGCTTCCTCCTGCTCGTCCACGAATTTGTTCTCGTCAAACTCGTCGATGTCCACCCGACGGAAGCGCGAGGACAGCGTGTTCCGGGCCATGGCGGGAGCTCGGCGCTCACTCAGCCGGCTCCGCTCCGGGCCCGACCTAGGCTCTGCTCCACCAGGCACCGGCTCCGGCTCGGGGGCGGGAAGCTGCCGCACGGCACCTCCTCCACTTCCTCCGCGCGCAGCTGCAGCCCGCCCACTTCCGGGCTACGCCGGAACCGGAAGTGCCATCAGGGGCGGCACCTTGAGAGGCCAGGAGTGTGTTAGACCTGGAGTGATGGTTTCCCCTACATCCCACGCTCTACTCTGTTTTTGGTGGAGGCTCAGCCTTCCTCCGAGGGAGTGAGCGTTTCGTGCCCACCAAGCCCAGCGTCGTGTACGACATAACTGCGCTTGTTCTCCAGTTTCTTCCCTTTCTCCGAGGAACCCCGGGAGGGGCTGGCACGGGCATAGGCCTGGACTCCGGGGGTGATTACTGCCTTGACTGGGAGAGCTCTGGGCCCCCAGAAGAAGCCGCCAGGCTCTGCTTCCCAAGTGCTAGGCAGGCACTTGGAGAAGAAACCTTCGAACCTGAGGGATGAATAGGAGTTCTAACGCGCTAAGAAGTTAGAGGAAGATGCTGTTTTGCACCCTTAAACGCCATCCTTTGTACACAGAAGTGACGCTGTTGTTAAAGAAATGGTGGACTTTAAAGATGTTTAAAGTATATTTAGGGGTCTGACAAGACGCTGACCACGTTTTGACTTGAGGGTGAAGTGACCCCGCACGTGTAGCAGTCACTTTGGTCTGGCAGATGGAGAGCCACGAGAGGGAGATGACTTTGTGGCCACCATCCTCGCAGGAAAGCCGAGGTACTGGCAGCTGAGACGTCATGGCTGGCTGGAGAGGCATTTCTTGGTAGGAAGCAGAACTCTCAAAATCTGAGATGGAGGGAGAGGGTGTTAAGGCAGTCAAGGACTACTCTGGGGTGTTAGGCTTAGGTTGCCTGAGGGCTTTGGTCTTAGCCTTGGGTAAAAGGGGTCTCTTCATATAATAGTCCTCTTTTTAATAAAAGTAGTTGAGGCCTGGCGCCCATAGCACAGTGGTTACGGCGCCAGCCTCATATACCAAGGCTGGCGGGTTCAAACCTGGCCGGGACCAGGTGAACAACAATGAGAACTGTAACAACAACAACAAAAAAATAGCCAGGCATTGTGGCTGGGGCCTGTAGTCCCACCTACTTGGGAGGCTGAGGCAAGAGAATCGCTTAAGCTGGGTGGCGCCTGTAGCTCAAAGGAGTGGGGCGCCGGCCCCATATGGCGGAGGTAGCCGGTTCAAAGCCAGCGGAGCCAAAAACTGCAAAAAAAAAAAAAAGAAGAATCGCTTAACCCCAAGAGTTTGAGGTTGCTGTGAGCTGTGACGCCAGGACACTCTATCTAGGGTGATATAGTGACACTGTGTCTCAAGAAAAGACAAAAAGGAAGTAGTTGAAATGTATCTCATTCTTATTGCTTTGAATACTGCTCATTGAACTGGTCTACACATCAAGAAAATATTGCCAGGCCAGGCGCCGTGGCTCACACCTGTAATCCTTGCACTCCGGGAGGCTGAGGTGGATTGCCTGAGCTCACAGATTCTACCATCCTGAGCCAGAGCGAGACCTCATCTTTAAAAATAGCCAGGTGTTGTGACTGGCGCCTGTAGTTCTAGCTACTTGGAAGCCTGAGGCAAGGGAATCGCTTGAGCCCAAGAGTTTGAGATTGCTGTGAGCTATGAAGCCATAGCACTCTACCAGGGACAACAAAGTGAGACTCTTGTCTAAAAAAAAAAAAATATATATATATATATATATATACACACACACACACACACATATAGCCAGACTATGATGCAACCTAATCTTGAGTGTTGAAGATATAAACTCCCATACTGAGAAATAGGTGCTGAATAAAAGTCTTACAGGTCCTGGAAACAAAGCCCACCTACATTTCAGTTCTATATACCTGAGAAGAAATATTTGTGAACCAGGTGGGCCACAAGAATGCAGAAATCTGTATCCCCAGAACATCCTGTTCGGAAGGAACTTTAAACCAGAAATATTCTACAAGTGAGGAAAGGAAACAGCCCCCAAATAAACCTGCAATGATATAATGTCCCAGGTGGTGGGTGTGTTACTTCTATTCCAGTCAGGGATGACTGAGTGCTGAGAGAAAGAAAAATCATGCAGTTCCTAGAGGTACCTTAGATAAAAAAGCCAAAGGAGGTGTCCATAGGAGGTAACACTAAACAGGGACCTGAAGAAAATGAAGGAGGGAGTCAAGCAAAGGCTGAGAGGTGGGCTGGGCTTGCTATATTCCAGAAATAGCAAGGTCATCCCGGTATAGAAGAGAGAAGAGATGAGACAGGTTAGGGGTGGTGGTGTTAGGATTCAGTAGGGTGAGGAAGGCATTCAGTCTTAATTCCAATGGGACATACCTAGATATCAAAGAAGTAATAGATAATTTGGCTTGTGACTTAAATTTGAAATGGGGCCCTGTAGCAGCTAGTTGTATTGAGGATAATCTAGGAGTGAGAGCCAAAGGAGATGATTAAGAAGGTGACAGCACCTATCCAGAGGACAGGCAATAGTAGTGCACATCAGGCAGGTGCCAGTAAGGGTGATGGGAACAGGTTGGGTTTATTTGAAGGAAGTAAGGGCTTTCAAATAAATAAGGGCCCACAAGACTTGCTGGCAGATATGTGGCATATAAGAAAAACAAGGGTGTCACAAATGGCTTCCAGGTCAAAAAAGATGTACACAGTCCTTAACTCTGATAGGAGTATACACATTTGGGAACTATGACAGCATAGCCCCTATGCACCATTAGACCTTCATTTAAGAGTGACGTGCCAAGATTGCCCTCTATTTACTCTTTTTCCCATATGCCCTCATTCCCTGGAATCCTGCCTCACTGTGGTCTGAGGCAAGGCTCACTAATTAATTCATCCAACAAGCATTCACGTGATAGAGACCAGAAAAACCAAATCAGGTGTCAGCCATGGTTCTCTTCTCAGGTAACTTCCAGATTGGCTGTGGAAATAGCTGCACAAACATTATTTAACTCAGTATGTTTGGGGCCAAAGAGAGGATTGTACAGAAGGCTTGGGACATAAGAGGAGGTTGCTACCCATAAGGGAATGGGAGAAGGGAATGGGAGAAGGTTCCCTGGAAAAGGTGACGACTAACAGCAACAGGATGACAACCTGAAATTTTTTTTTTTTTGCAGAGATAGTTGCACTAGGTAGAATGCTGTGGCGTTACACAGCTCATAGCAACCTCCAGCTCCTGGGCTTAGACAATTCTCTTGCCTCAGCCTCCCAAGTAGCTGGGATTACAGGTGCCCACCACAATGCCTGGCTATTTTTTTGTTGCAGTTTGGC